GGGGAAAGAGGGAGAAATGAGTAAAACACCCGATTGGCAGTCAGCAGGGCTTCCAAGTGAGGGCCCCGCACTTGGCAAATATCAAGACACGCAGAGAGAATGGGGGCGGAGAGCATGTTACCCTAACGGGTTGGTTAAAAGCGATTATTCCCCCCACCCCACTCACAGACTGGTCTGCAAGAAAAGTATTCTCTACCAGCAGTGTCGGCCCCCCTTGAATGGACGATTAACATGGCGGGCCTTCGCTGCACTTCACTGAGGCAAACATGGAACCGATCCCACTGAGCTACCATCAGACCTGCGGCAAGTATTCGAGGGGACTGTTCCGTCGGACACAGAAGCAGAAAGAGGCCATTAGCTCCATCGAGTCTGTGCTGACATTCAATGAGATTGCGATTGATCCGGTTGTCCTTAACTCCCACTTTCCTGCCTTTTCCCCCATTCCCTTCCTGATTTAAAAAAAATTCTCTCAGTCTTGAGTCTAAGCAGAATTAGCCGTGTGACCATAAAGATACAGACAAACTATCAGGCCATTTGGCCCATTGAGTCTACTCCGCCATTCAGTCATGTTTCTCAACCCCATCCTCCTGCCTTCTTCCTGTAACTGTTGATCCCCTCACTGATCAAAAACCTCTGCCTTATACTTAATGACCCAGACAGAACTCCGCAGTAAAGAATTCCACAGATTCATTCCTTTTGGAGAGAAGAAATTTCTCCTCATCTGTCTTCAATGGGCGACTCTCACACCAAGATGATGGCCCTCTGGTTCTAGCCTCTCCCACACAAGGGGAAACAACCTCTCCACATCTCCCCTGTCAATTTCCCCCGAAGAATCTTGTCTGCTTCAATAAGGTCGTCTCTCATTCTTCTAAACTCCAATGAGTACAGCCAATCGACTTAACCTCTTCTCATAAGACAGGTCCCTCTATACCTGGGATCAGCTGAGTGAACCTTCTTTGGATTGCTGCAGACGTTCAGTCTATCGTTCCTTAGATACACGTTCCCAAAACTGTTCACACTATTCCAGCTAAGGCCTGACTAGTGCCTTGTACAGCTTTAGCAAACCTTCTGACCTGGGGTTTGAGACAGTCTCAGTCTAGGCTGGGAGAACTGGTCACACTGCTTCAGGATCATAATGAGTTTTGGAGCACTGTGTTCAGTTCTGGTTTCTTCATAGACTTCGTAAAATCCCTACAGTGTGGAAACAGGCCCTTCGGCCCAACAAGTCCACACCAACCCTAGGAGCCTCCCATCCTGACCCATTCCCCTTACAACCCACCTAAGCTACACATCCCTGAACATTACGGGCAATTTAGCATGGCCAATCCACCTAGCCTGTACATCTTTGGACTGTGGGAGGAAACCGGAGCACTCGGAGGAAACCCACACAGACACAGGGAGAAAGTGCAAACTCCACGCAGACAGTCGCCCGAGGGTGGAATTGAACCAGAGTCCCTGGTGGTGTGAGGCAGCAGTGCTAACCACTGAGCTCCTTGTTATAGGAAGGATATTATTAAGCTGGAGAGGGTTCAGAAGAGATTTATCAGGATGTTGCAGGGTATGGAGGGTCTAAGTTATAATGAGAGGCAGGATAGGCTGGGACTTCTTTCATTGGAGCATAGAAGGTTGAGGGCTGGCCTTATAGAGGTTTATAAAACCATGAGAGATTTAGATAAGGTGAATGGCAGGTGTCTTTTCCCTAGGATGGGGGATTTCAAGACTACGGGGCACATCTTTAACAGGAGGAGAAAGATTTTTTTGTTTAGTTTGGGATTATGTTTGGCATGAACTGGTTCAATTGAAGGGTCTGTCTGTGTCGTATGGCTCAACGACTGCCCAAGAGGCAGGAAACCTCACAGCTTTTAAAAAAAGAACGACATGGACAAACACTTGAAGTTTGTCGATTGTCGGGAAAAACCTATCTGGTTCATCAGTGTCCTCCAGGTGAGGAAACTGCCATCCTTACCTAGTCTGGGCCTACACTTGACTCCAGATCCACAGCAATGGGGCTGATTCTTAACTGCCCTCTGGGCAATTAGGGACGGGCAATAAATGTCGAGACGCCCACATCCCGGGAATGAATCGAAAGAAAACCCTTGCCAGGCTATGGACCTAGAGCAGGAAAACGGGAACAGTACAGCTTTTCGCTTGGTGCAGACTCAATGGGTTGAAGGGCCCCTTGCGAGTTGTGTACAATTCCACGAGGGGTGGAAGTAAAATGTGGACTGAAAATGTGAAACCGCAGGACGGAGGGGAACAACAACATTAATGCTTTCAGTTAGAGAACGCAAGAGGCGGCTAAGCCTGCGCAGGTTAGTTCGAGAAGACCTCCTGATTAGCGTGTGCACCCACCCCTTCTAATTGCCAGCCCCCTCACCGAAAACAAAAAGCCACTGAACATATTTTATCACAAGAGCATTTGTACAATCTCTTTTCGAAGGTCTTGGAATCTACTTCTGTTGACCTGACTTTTTGAAAAATAAACCTGCCTGCAATTGGGTGATAAGGTTATCAAGACCAAAAACACAAGTGGTGTTTTCCAGATTGCTACCAGAATGTTCATATCTTTATTTATTTTTAAGGTAGGAAGTGAGGCTGGGATGAGCCCGAGCAATTTAAAAGCGCAGGAGGTGGCCATTCAGCCCCTCCCTGGCTGGGCTAGCCCCCTGCGGGCTCTCAAACTCGGGAACGATGGAAAAGCTGGAGGAATACAGACGTTGCTGCTCGCGCTCGCGCTCCCCCCCCCCACTCCCATCGACAGGCAGCACACACCCCCACCCCGCTCTGGGAGAGTACTCACAGCGAACATGGCGGGTCCATACTGGAAGGTGTTGGGGAGGCCAGGCACGCCGGCATAGTACGGCAGGCTGGTGTAGCTGTAACCAGGTGGCAAGGCCGGGTTCAGGAAGGTCTGCTGCGTGGTGTGGTGGCTCTGTGTCTGGTTCTGCTGAGGCTGCGCCAGTGTGGTGGCTGGGGCAGGGGAGGAGGCGTCTCCTCGGCCAAACTTCGTCAGGTCCCCTGGGGTTGCAATGGAGAGAGAGAGAGACAGACACCGAGAGAGACACGGGGGGGTGGGGAGGAAGAGTGGGGGTAAGAGGGACAGACAGGATAGGAGTGAGGAGGAGAGAACAAACAAAAAGTTTGTGGTTACTGGTGATGCTCCTTGATGGTTTCACCCCGCACCCCCCCGCCCCACCCTGCACGCGTGCACCAGTCCCTTACCAGAGTACGGGTTATTTGTCAGGCTGGCTTCCCTTCCAGTGATCGGGGTGGTGGGAGCAGCAAATGGAATCCCGTAATAGTCCTGAAGAAGAGACCGCATATAGTTAAGACATTCGGTCAGGAGCCTGTGGCGTGCCGTGGCAATAATGTGGTACACGGCACCAAAACAAGTGCTCGGGCAGGCACAGAACGTGCCTTCCCTGGCAGGGAGAGCACGTTGGCCCGTACAGCCCGACTGAGTGCCCTTGCACCTTCCAGTGCTTTGACACTACCTTCTTTATGGCCAACGTCAACTGGGGAGGCAGTGGTAACCCATAGCCCCAGCTTAATCTTCTGGGGAGGTGGGTTCGAATCCCACCATGGCAGAACTTTATTAAATAAAAGAAAAATCCGGCATTAAAACAAACAAGTTTAATAGTGACTGCCAGCTCCCTTCTGGAGTACTGCGTGCAGTTCTGGTCACCCTGTTATGGGAACAACATTATTAAGCTAAAGAGGGCTCTGAAGAGATTTACCAGGATGTTACAAAAACAAATTGCTGGGAAAGACTCAGCAGGTCTGGCAGCATCTGTAGAAAGAAATCAGAGTTAACGTTTTAGGTCAAATGACCCTTCCCCAGAACTGAGATTTTCCAGCAATTTCTGCTTCTTGTTTCTGATTTACAGCACTTTTTTTTTTTTAAAAAACCAGGATGTTTCCAGGAACGGATGGAGAACAGGAGAGATCAAACACTCACCAGAGGAAACCTCGTCTGAAGCATTTGCAAATCGTCATAGCCGTACACCTGAGGCTGGGACAAAGAGAATGTTAACAGAATTCGCCCAGGGACAAGCCCAAGTTACCATTCAACTCAACTCTGTTGGCAGTGAGGAAAGAGGCCAAGACAACAGGGTACCTGCCTCCTGCCTCACTCTTACAATCTGTCTGATTCAGGGGCAGCGCTGCGGATGTCAAGTGGATGGGGAGGGGGCCTGCAGAGATGGCGCGAGCGAGCGAGAGGGAGAGACTGACACAAGACAGACAGAGATGCTGGATGACCTCCATCTAAATCCTCCTGTCTATCAGACCACATCCAATGGCCCGGCCTCAATCAGATGATACCAAAGGGTCAACCGAACGCCACCTAGCGCTGGTCTTCAGTGCCAGCCTTCACTGCTTAAAAACGGAAAGGGGGAAACCAGAGCAGCAACCCCTGGATTCGACTTTCTAGTTGCTATTACAGAGGTTATTTGCAGGACGGGCCCTTGCTCAGGAATCAGGAGATTGTGTATCGGCATTGAATGAGGGAACGGTATCACCAGCTGGTTCCTGTTTTACACAGCAGTGATACCTATGCACATGCTGTTAGTTATTTTTAGAAACACGTTCCTCACCTGGTATGCGGGAAGCAGTCCTGGTGCCACAATGTATGGGTTAGGCAGCAATGGTGGAACCCCTGGGGGAAGATTGGGAGGAGCCTTCCCTGAAAATCATTACCATTAAATGTTAACATTTAATGCTGTCACTATCGGGTCATAATTCAACAGCAAAAAGCAAACACTGCTAACCATCTAATCCATGTGGATTACAGTGGAGTATCTCAAAACAACACTCTCAGTTAGAAGTTAGACACACAGTAAAACTTCCCTTACTCTTAAAGTCAAAGTAAAGCTTCCTCCACCACCACCACCCACTCCCACTTCAATCAACTATTCCCAGGACAGGGACAGCAGGGGGTTAGATACAGAGTAAAGCTCTCTCTACACTGGTCCCCCCCATCAAACACTCCCAGGACAGGGACAGCACGGGGTTAGGAACAGAGCTCTCTCTACATTGTCCAAATGCTCCCATGACGGGGGTAGCACTGGGTTATAGACAGAATTTAAACTCAAAACAAAATAATTACTGAATTTGTAAAAAGGCTAACCCCTCAGTCACAGTGACCATGAAATTGCGAGAGTGGAGTGAGCCAGGTGCATTTTTACTTATTGCTTTAGGGAATGCGCTGTCTTCTCCTGGTCTAGCCTACACACAACTGCAGACCCACAGCAGTGTGGCACATGCCTGACGGCCTTCTGATAGCACAGCTCTCCCCACCAGAAGACAAAAGAAAACAGCTCTGTGGACACCGCAGCAAAGCAGCATCGTCTTTAAGGGTGAGGCAATGAATGCTGGCCTGGGCAGCAGCATGGAAATCGCAGGAAGCTGATTCTTTAGAGGAAGGAGAGGCGATTGCATTGAAACGGAAGGGGATCCCAAGGAGACTTTTCCAGGGTGGATGCCTGGAGGATGTTTCCCCATGTGGGAGAGACTGGAACTGAGGGAGCAGGGCTTAAAAACGAAGGAGCTCCCATCCGAGGAGGAGACTGGAACTTGATAGAAGGCGTGTGACTCTCTTCCATACAGAGCGCCCAGACAGAATCACAGGAACAAGAGGGGGCCATTCAGCCTGCTCTGTCATCTAATGATCGAGCACTTCAATGCATTTTTTTTCTTTATTCATTCATGAGATGAGGGTGTTGCTGGCTAGCAGTATTTATTGCCCACAGGGCAGTTATGAGTCAACCACATTGCTGTGGGTCTGGAGTCACATGTAGGCCAGACCAGGTAAGGATGGCAGTGTCCTTCCCTAAAGGACGTTAGTGAACCAGATGGGTTTTTCCCAACAAGCGACAATGGATTCACGGTTATCATTAGATTCTTAATTCCAGATATTTCTATTAAATTCAAATTCCACCATCTGCCATGGCAGGATTCAAACCCAGGTCCCCAGAACGTTACCTGGGTCTGTGGATTAACAGTCCAGTGATAACACCACTAGGCCATTGCCTCTTTTACCTATACTTTTACCTTCCACATCCCCCAAGCCTGGTGATCAGAAATCTATCAATTTCGACCTTAAACATACTCAAAGTCTGAGCCTCCTCTGTGACGTAGAGAGCTCCAAAAATCCACAGCCCTGACTGAAACAATTTGTTCAAACCAACTTAAATGGCATCCTCCTTATTTTTAAATCCTTCCCCCGCCCACCCCGTTCTAGATTCCCTAACCGGGGGAAACACCTGACCCGCATCTAACGCAGTCTATCGCTTTAAGCATTTGTCAGTTTCAATGAGATCACCTTGCATTCATTGAATAACGAGAGAATACAGAGATTGGCCCAATCTCTCTCCATTAGGACTGTCCTGCCATCCCAGGAACATAGCTGGTGAAGAGATAGTAAGAACTGCCGATGCTGGAGTCTGAGATAACACAGCAGGCCAGGCAGCAACAGAGGAACAGGAAAGTTGACGTTTCGGGTCGGGACCCTTTTTCAGAATGGTCTGAAGTAGGGTGCAGACCCGAAGCGTCAGCTTTCCTGCTCCTCTGATGCTGCCTGGCCTGCTGTGTTCCTCTAGCTCCACCCATATCTGGTGAACCTATGGCAATGACATCCTTCCTGAGATCAGGGGACCAAAACTGTATACAACTTACTCCAGGTGCAGTCTAACTGAGCTCCTACACAATTGAAGCAAGACTTCCTTACTCCAGCACACTCATCCTCTCACAAAAAGGATAATGTTCCATTGAGCCATTGGATTTCTTTTCATATCCACTGGGGGTGGCAGGGGAAGAGAGAGACACGTGTCTCGATTTCGTTTTGCCTCTGAAAGACAACACCTCTCGACAGCGCCATTGTCTCTTGGTACTGGCGCAGGTAGGATGGCCTCAATAACTTCATACAGGGTTTATAACTAACAAGATAGGGGAGGTGATGGCCCGTTGGTATTATCACTGGACTGTTAATCCAGAGACCCAGCTAATGTTTGAATCCCGCCATGGCATATGGTGGAATTTGAATACAATAAAAAAATCTGGAGCGTAACGATGACCATGAATCCATTGTTGATTGTCGGAAAAACCCATCTGGTTGTCCTTCAGGGAAGGAAACTGCCATCCTTACCTGGTCTGGCCTACATGAGACTCCAGACCCACAGCAATGTGGTTGACTGTTAAGAGTGCCTTCTGGGCAATTAGGGATGGGCAATAAATGCAGGCCAAGCCAGCTATGCCCACATTCCATGAATGAACAACATGCATTCACGTGATGTCTGTACTGCAAGGAAACATCACATGACACTTTGCTGAATTGTTACTGAACAAAACACAATACAGTCACATGGGTGATATCAGGGCGAGGCAAACGGAGGCTGGGTCAAAGAGGTCAGTTTCCAGAAGGTATTAAAGGGTGTAGAGCAATGCAGAGGGACAGAGAGTTTCAGGGAGGGAACTGCAGGCAGCTGAAGGTACAGCCACCAACGGCACAGTGATGGGCATCGAGGGATGCAGAATATGTCAAGAGCTGGAAGAGTGCAGAGATCTCAGAAGGCTGGAGGAAATAGATATGATATGAGGGGTGCAACACAGACCGGGGTGGGGGTGGCCGGGGGTGCTGACAGAGACGGGGTTGGGTGGGGGTGGGCAAAAGAGACGGGGAGAAGGAAATGGGCGAGGTGGGTGGCACAACAGAGACTGCAGAGATGGAAGGAGCAGCAGCAGCAATATTAAATGGCCTTTTCAAAATCAATCTGCATTTTGCCTGGGGTCTTGCGTGTGAGTTACATTTCCCTTGGTTTAAAGGAGTGCTAAATTCGGGCCGCTGCACAGTGGGAGCTACAGGCCCAGAAGGTGAGAGGAGCGGTCCTTAATCCGTGCCCCAGGCTGCTGAACCCCTACTCCCCCTCTCACCATTACCTGACGTTGTTGCAACAGAGCTGCGGGAGGCAGCTGTCACAGTGGAGTTGCTGACCAGACTCAGATTCAGGCTGCTCACACTCCCCAGGGTGTTGGAGACGCTCGATGATGGAGCCACCGACACAGTGCTGGCTGCTGTGGCGAAAGTGCTGGGGGACGAGTGGAGACACGCTTCACTTTCCACACTTGTGTGCTGTACGGAGACCGGAAACAGGGAGGCGAGAGACACAGTGAGCTCGCTGCAGGAGGTCACTCAAAAACTAAATAAACCTGGTTTAAAAAACATCACGAGACTTCCAACACACACACCCACACACACATTTCATTCGACACCCCCCCTCCCCAGTCCCTTCACCAAGACACCAGCCCCGCCCCACCCCTTGGTACTTTGTACGGTGCTTTGAAACACGGTGACTCAGTGGTTAGCACTCCTGCCTCACAGCGCCAGGGACCCAGGTTCGATCCCACCCTCGAGTGACTGTCTGTGCGGAGTTTGCACATTCTCCCGGTGTCTGTGTCAGTTTCTTCTGGGTGTTTCAGTTCCTATTCAGGTGTTCCTCTCACAGTTCAAAGATGTGCAGGTTCGGTTGGATTGGCCATGCCCCATAGCGCCCAGGGATGTGCAGGTCAGGGTGGATTGGCCGTGCTAAATTGTCCCGTAGTGCCCAGGGATGCACAGGCTAGGGTGATTAAACCACGGGAAATGCATGGTTGCAGTAATAGGGTGGGATGCTCTTTGGAGGGTCGGTGTGGGTTCGATGGACCGAATGGCCTGCTTCCACACTGTAGGGAAGCTATGATTCTATGAATTCAGACTGAGGCAAACACCACTCTTCAACTTGCCTGCCCCGCCAATCTCTACCTGAGCTGGTGCAGGAGGAGCTCCCTTGCATTTAGCTTTGCAGCATATCTGTGCAGACTGTCCCCCTCAAGAAAGAGGGCACCGAGACCATGAGTGTGGATGGGGTTTACAAGACAGAATTCTAGAGCTTAGGGCCCCAAGCAATTGCAGGCACGGCCTCAAACCTTGGGGCTGGAAGCTGCGCACAAGTGACTGGAATTGGGTGGGGAGGGAGTCCAAAACTAGAGGGGCATAGGTTTAAGTTGAGAGGAGCAAGTTTTAAAAGGGAACGGAGGGGCATCTTTTTTCACACAGAGAAGGTGGTGCATGTATGGAATGAGCTGCTGGAGGAAATGGTGGAGCCTGGTACAATTACAACTCATATAAGGTACCTGGATGGGTACATGAACAGGGTTGAGAGAGATATGGGCCAAATGCTGGCAAATGGGACTAGACCGATTTAGGATATCTGGTCAGCATGGACGAGTTGGACTGAATGGTCTGTTTCTGTGCTGTACGACTCTATAACCCGAAGAGGCCAGAGGAGAGACTGTGGCGGACCTCAGCAAACTGGACACTAGAAGGGCTTGGGAGTATGGAGTCACAAGGAAAACACAAGGCCAGCGAATAGCAACACATGGGGAAAAGAAATGTCCGGGCAAACAGATCCCAACTCCCACAAGCGTCAGCATCTGCTAAATATCGGTGCCATTGCAAAAGAGCTTTTGTTCAACAACAGTTAGAGATTAGTTAAGGACGCTTACTACAGTTCTTGACTCATGAGTGTGTGTCTAGACTAAATAAAGATTCAAAAAGGTGATGAGCAAAGCTATTCACTGGGGATGATCATTGACATCCACCTGGAGAACTAAATACCTGCCTGGCCAGTTCACACAGTCAGTCACTTCATATCCGGTGTGGCCATCTGAGAACTAGCCCTGTGTCACCTTGAACGTCCTGCAGGAGCATAGAAACTAGACCATTTGGCCCTTTGGAGCCTGCTCCACCATCCTATAGGCTCCTGCTTGATCCCCTATCACACTGCCATATTGCTGCCTTCTTGCTTTATTCCTTGACACCTTTAATATCTACAAACTTATCAATTGCTTTCTTGAATGTATTCAGTGACCTGGCCTCCACAGCTTGACTACCCTCTGAATGGAATGTTTCCCCATCTCAGTCTTAAATAGTCTATACATCCCTACTTCTGAACTCTCTCCACCTCCTGCAGCAAAGGTTTTCCTCAGCGTATCTGGCTACTTTCACTAACTGGTATAGTCTCAATCTCTCTCTCTCTCACAGTCCTGCCCACCCTCTCTCAATACAAAGATCCCTTTGTACAGCCACACCCACATCTCTCGCCTCAGTTTCTCTCTCTGTGGAGCAAAGTCTTCATAGAATCCCTACTGTGTGGAAACAGGCCATTCGGCCCACTGAGTCCACACCAACCCTCTGAAAAGCATTCCACCCACCTACCCTATCCCTGTAACCCTGCATTCCCCATGGCTGACCCACCCTAACCTGCATATCTCTGGACACTACGGGACAATTTCCAACAGCCAATCCACCCTAACCTGCACATCCCTGGGCACTACGGGACAATTTAGCACGGCCAATCCACCCTAACCTGTACGTCCCTGGGCACTACGGGACAATTTAGCACGACCAATCCACCCTAACCTGCACATCCCCGGACACTACAGGGCAACTTAGCCTGGCTAATCCACTCTAACCTGCACACCTTTGGACTGTGGGAGGAAACTGGAGCACCCAGAGGAAACTCACGCAGACATGGGGAGAACGTGCAAACTCAGTTGCCAGAGGGTGGAATCAAATCCGGGTCCCTGGCACCATGAGGTAGCAGTGCTAACCACCGAGCCACCACGCCACTTTCACAGACACATTTCCTCAACGTTCGCCGGAGTGACCATTATTCCGACGCAGCTGACCCCCTGCCATAAAGAAAGAGACAAGGTGCAGATGGAGACGTATTGTTGTCCTCAGGGCAAAGGTGATTGATGGGAGATTGGATCGAGGCGTACAAGATGGTGAAAGGTTTGAGGTCAGTTAGAGGGATGCGGGGTGTTGCGCGAGAGATGCAGACAGTGACGTGAGGTAGAACTCTTTTGGTGGTGGGTGATAACAGCCTGGAAAGTGTGCGTGTGCCCGTCTCCGTGTGCCCATGCATGTGCCTGTCCAAGTGTCCATTTCCCTGTGCATGCATCCCCACACGTGTACGTGTACAGACATGTAGCAAGGGAGCGGGGAAATGAATGAATGATTTCTGAGGGAAATCGGATTGGCGCTTGAGGGGAACATACACTCGGTAGCTGCTGGGAAGCATCGACTGAGAGCCAGCACGGAGTCAATGGGATGATTGGCCACCTTCCAACAAGTCCAGATTCCCCTCCAACCTGCCCAGGAACTATAATCGGCTGTTCCTCCACTGTTGCTGGGTCCAAATCCCGGCATTCCCTTGCACGATGATGCTGTGGGTGCACCCAAGCCCCCAAGGACTGCAGTGGCCCACACTCTCCAAGGGTCTTTAGGAACAGGCAATAAATGTTGACCTACAGGGTGGCACTCCTCCTCAATGCAGAATCAACTTGTAAGACAACTTACGAAACTTTGCACCAAAATAAACCATTTCTGAGCAGATGGGGGTAGCTTGGGCTAAGACAAGCCATTACTGTGATTCATCTACCTCCTATGATCCAGGGCCAGCTCCTCATGGAGATCAAGGCCAGGTGGCTGCACACTTCCAAGAGAAGACCATCAAGGGCATTTCTTTTTTGAAAGAAACAAAGTAGCTTACCAAGTGGGTTGAAGTTGAAGAGCGCCCTGAGGAAGAAGACAGACTGCTGCTCTGTTGGGTTGATGCGGTGCTGAAAGAGAAAAAAAGTGAGGAGAAAAAAGTAGGCGTTAGAGGTGGACAGCAGGGCATGTCATTGAGTCATAGAGGTGTACAGTACAGAAACAGACCCTTCGGCCCAACTCGTCCGTGCCGACCAGATATCCTAAATTAATTTAGTCCCATTTGCCAGCATTCGGCCCATATCCCTCTAAACCCTTCCCATTCATGTACCCATCCAGATGCCTTTTAAGTGTTGTAATTGTACCAGCCTCCACCACTTCCTCTGGCAGCTCACTCCATACACGCACCACCATCTGCATGAAAATGGTGCCTCTCAGGTCCCTTTTAAATCATTTCCCTTCACCTTAAACCTATGCTCCTCTAGTTTTGGATCCCCTACCGAGGGGAAAAAGACCTTGTCTATTTACCCTACCAACGCTCAAGTTTATAAACTTCTACAAGGTCACCCCTCAGCCTCCAATGCCCCACGGAAAATAGCCCCAGCCTATCCCTATAACTCAAACCCTCCAACCCTGGCAACATCCTTGTAACTGGCAGGTCCCAGCTACACATTCCTACCAGGAGGGATTTTACAGCAGTACCCAGTTGGAGGGCACAGGGTCTGGGTGACCCCGAAACGGGCAAGGATTAACTGGGTTTGGGGGGGGGGAATGACAGCACATGCTGGACAAGGCTGGGAGATGCAGTGCTCCGGTGTCACAGAGGGGGAGCGAGAGCGCGAGACACACACGCACACAAGTGAGAGCCGGGTGCACACTTGTACAAGGAACGCATCAGAAAAGGAGATTGTCTACTGGAGGAGGGAGACACTACGTTGCAACCACACAGGACTGCACCCAAAGTACCCTACACAGCGCGGAATCTGTCATTTCAGCATGTGCTTCGGAGGCAGTTCATGGGACAAGGGTGGGGGGAGGGGTTTGGTAAAATGGTCCAACGCACCACGGTTCAGAAGCAGCGTGGAGCCATCTCGTTGAGAGATACAAGTTGGAGGCTGATCGAGGGGGCACAGGACTGTCACACGCCAATGATTACAGTCTGGTCACCACTCCCTCAGCTGGGACTGATCAAACCCTGTGAGTTATTTACTTAACCCGACAAAACACAAGTTTCGAAGTCCAATGCGCAACAAACTTACTGATTTTTGGGAAGCGGGCGGCTTCCAAACCATAAGGAGACAAACCGTCAGGCAGAGTCACAACATTGTATACAGACAATACATAAAGGCCTTTTATGTGAACTCTCAAAGGCAGCGCGCACATACAACAGGCCTGGCTCTTGCAGAAAGTCGATACGGACTTGACAGCACAAGAAGTCGTGCCTTCCCACCCTCTGAGATGGAATGAAACTGAAGGGACGCACTGCTGGATTGGCTGGGGAACCGAGATGAGCTGCTTACCTGCTCTGCTGTGGGGTGGTCGTGCTTGGCAGCTCCTCGGTGTGGCTAAGGCTGGCCAGCCCTGAAGGGTGCTGGCTGTTTGATGTTAGTAGTGACGATGCAGATACTGCATTCGAGAGTGAAGCCATGCTGGGGACTGCAGGCGAGTCAGACTTCACTGCAGAACCAGCTGCAGCTGCACAAAACAGGAGACAAGGATTAGCCGAGCGCGGGGTGGCCCTGTACGCCCCTCTCCATGAGTCGCCTCACCTCCGAGGCTGCTCATTTCTGATACAGCCAAAACCCGCTGTGGGAAAAATTGGAGCTGATGGTTGCCATACTGATGCACCAGAGGCTGTACCAGCAACAGGCCATTTGACCCTACTGCCCCTTGTTCTTCTGTTTCACATGAGCCATCTCCTGGTCTACTCTTCACTCACCTTGCCCACACCCCCACACCCTGTCCTTCTGCCCTTTTCTCCCTCATGTTTCTCCAGCTTCCCCCTCCCTTCACATCTCCACTATTAGGCTCCCCCACTCTCCGCGGGAGCGAGTCTCCCCCATTCTCCCACAACGCGCCCCTTGCGGGAGCGAATCTCCCCCAT